ATTTTCCTACATTCAAGGTTCTCACATTCCATGTCCCAATCACCAGTGTCTGCTTACAAATGTAATTAAACATACTGTAACACAATGCAGCTTAATACAACACAATATAAGATAATATAATATTATAACCTTCCATGATGTGATCTGATATGAAGATATGATCATTTAAAAGGGACAATTTGTTTGGAAGGTGAGATATACCCCACAATATGAGTTGATTACTTTCTTCAAACATCATGCTCTCTTCTAGTTACCAGGATATTGAATATAAACTTGTAACAACTAGTCTTGAATGATCTTGGGTTATGAACCTCTATGTCCTCAGCATTGCACCTAACCTGCATATTTTGAATTTACTTGGCCTCTTAATCTCATGACTCAGCCTTTTATCATGCCCATTACTGTGCTCCCTGGAATTATATCAATATGTTTTACAAAATACATATAGATACAGTTATATAGGTTTACTCTTCTAGAGAATCTAACATAACTAAGATATTTCAAAGGATTCTTTCCATCTGTTGCCTATGAAGTATTTTAGTATTATATGTTCCTCACCCTTCTCCAACAACAATATCAAAATAACAAATCATTCTTTTTTTTTACTTAGTAACTTGGTCACCTGACTGGGAAAGATTTATATTTGTTCCCATTCCAAAAAAGGTGATTTAACAGAGTGTGGAAATTATCTAAGAATACAATTGATTTCACATGCAAACAAGATTCTACTGAAGATTATACAAAAAACAGAGAACTGCCAGAAGATCAGGCTGGGTTTAGAAGGGGTCATGGTACTAGGGATATTGTAGCTAATGTTAGATGGATCTTGGCTGAAAGCAGGGAGCGCTAGAGGAATGTCTATCTGTGTTTCATTGATTATGCAAAGGTGTTTGACTGTGTGGATAATAACAAATAGTGGCTGACTCTGAGAAAAATGGGAATCCCAGAACACTTGATCTTGCTAAATGCAAAACATATATTTAGACCAGAAGGCAGTTGTCAGAACAGAGTAATGAAATACTACATAGTTCAAAATTGGGAAGGATATACTCCAACGATGTGTCCTATGTCCATATCTTTTCAACCTATTTGCAGAACAGATTATCCAGAGGCTAAATTGTATCAGAAGTGTGGCATTAGGATTAGAGGAAGATTCATCAATAATTTGAGTTATGCAGACGACACAACCCTGCTACTTAAACTGAGGAAGACCTGAAACACTTGCTGCAGAAGGCCAAGGACTGCAGCCTTCTATATGGATTAAGGCTCATAATCAAGGAAAGAAAGATTCTCACCACTGGACCAATTGGCAACATCAGGATGGATGGTGAAGACATTGAGGTTGCTCATAGCTTTAGTTTGCTTGGCTCCACAGTCAACACTCTTGGCACTAGCAGCCAGGAAATTAAGAGGCATTGTGATGGGCAAGTCTTCTGTTAGGGACCTCTCCAAAGTCCTGAAGAGCAATGGGTATCACTCTGGAGACTAAGGTGCACCCTATGCACGCCATGGTGGTTGCAATCACTTGCTATGTGTCAGAGAGCTGGATAATAACTAGGGAGGATAGATGGAGAAGGGATGCATTTGAGCTGTGGTGCTGGAGAAGAGTATCGGATGTACCATGGACTCCTAAGAAAACGAATATGTTTATTCTGGAGAGGATGACACCAGGTGGCAAGGATTCTGAGCCTTCTTCTGATATATTTTGGAAATGCTGCAGGGAGAAACCAATCCTTGGAGACGGATATTGAGGGAAGCCGAATATCAAATTTAATAATAGTAGACCAAATGCTGTATCAGGAAATGAGAGAGGCTTAATATAAGCTGAAGGTCACCTTGTGACACTGGGGCATTCCTTAGGAGGTCACCTTGTGACACTGGGACATTCCTTAGGAGTCAACATTGTTCTTAGTTTTATCAGATGAATCCCTCCCTCTTGAGATTAACATAAAGAGGAACTTGGCCTTATCTGTAAAAGATTTCACCATTATCCTTTGTTTTGTACTTCCTAGTAATTCTATATAAATATGCAGAGAAGCATGGCTCGAGGTCTTCAGTCGAGAACTGCTGACCCCCTGTTTTATGCTCTCTGCTCTATCTAATTCCTGGCTGTTTGTCTCTTTATTATAAAATTATTCTATTCTTTGTGACCCTCGGTCTGCAAAAGATATCATTCTTGGGAGGGTGGAGGGACAGCACAAGATGCAAAGACCCTCTATGAGGTGGATTGATTCAGTGACTAGGGTAATTGGCATGGGTGTGTAGGAGACATTAGGATTAGTACAGGACAGAGCAGAGTTTAGGGATGTTGTACATATGGTCGCTATGAGTTGTAGGCAACTCAACAGCATATAACAACAACAACTATTCCATAGAGTTTCCAAAGCTGTAACTACAAAAGCAACCTACTACATCTTTCTGTCTGTGAAGTAGGTAATGAACTTAACTTTAAAACTCTTGGTAGTGGTTGTGTGTATTATTATTTCTAGATATTTATATATATTTTTTTATATGTAGAGTTTCCACACTCTTTTTTGTATATATTTATTTGGGTGAAACACATGACCTCTACTATCACTGAATGAGTTGTTATATCTAGCATAAAAATCTGTGTATTAAAATTTATGCAGTATTACCTTTCTCGTATTAAGCATAAACATATGTATGTATTTTACTTTCAAGTACTGTTGTTGTTGATTGCCTTTAAGTCGAGGATGATTAATAGTGACCTTATGACCAAAAGACCTGAAACCCCTCTAAAACTATCAACATTTATCAAAGTTTATAGTTTCCAGAGGCATGTTGTTTAGGAAGTGAATGCCACTTCCTCTTCTAAAGTACTACTAAATAATTATTTATAATGTTGGATAATTCTCTTACTGTTGTCTTTCCTTTCACTCAGTTAAATCATTGGGCAAAATAATTGCCTTTTTATTACTTTTTTATTCCCATTCCACTCCCTTCCTATCTTGGTAACCATCTAGGAAGGTTTCTATATGTGTGTAAACCTTTCTTTAGCTTCTTATAATATTGACTTTATATCATAAGTATATTTCTGACTCCTTTATGTCACTCAAAAAGTATATTCTCTAGATTTAGCCATGTTCTGCATGTATGATAATGTCTGCAACAATTTATCCATTGATGAAGATTTGGATTATTACCGTCTCTTTGGTACTGTAAAAAATGATAAAATAAATATTGATGTGAGCAGCAATATGGTGCCAGAATTGTAGGAAGACTCATCAACAGCTTTCATTCTGGAGGAGACACAGCCTCAGTCACTGAAACTGAGGAGAACCGAAATATCTGCTACAGAAGGTCAAGGACTACAGTCATTAATATGGATTGAAGCTCAAAATCAAGAAGACAGAGATTCTCATCGCTGGGCAAATTGGCAGCACCAGGATGAATGGAGAAGAGATTGAGATTGTTAACAATTTCCTCTTACTTGGTTCCACAATCAACACCTGGCACTAGTGATAGTTGTAGTGGCCAGAAATTCAAAAGAAGAATTGCATTAGGAAAGTGTGTCGTCAAGGACTTCTTCAGAGTGCTGAGGAACAAAGATGTTGGTTTATAGATTAAGGTGCACCTGACATAGGCCATGGCCTTTATAGTTACTTGCTATGCATCATAACACTGGACAATGACTAAGGATGGCAGGAGAAGAATTTATGCCTTTGAGTTGTGGTGCTGGAAAAGAGTATTGAATATACTATTGCCTCCCATGAGAACAAACAGGTCTGTTCTGGAGAGAGTGAAACCAAGTTTCTCTTTGGAGTCAAGGATTTGAATGGGGGAACAGGAGAGAAAGGAAATTGTGCCACAATAAACAAAGAGTTTAAAAAAGGTAAAGTGAACCGGGGAAGTGGAAAGAGGAGAGAAGAAAATGTGCAACAACGAATGAATGAAAATCCAACTTTTCTGTAAACTTTTGTTAAAATCACAATTAAAATAAAAATTGAAAAAAGAAAAGAAACACTTTTTATTTCCTCTAATAAAGAATTCAAGGGTATTTTTAGATTGAGGAAAACATTTATAAATTTGAAAGTTTAATAATTTTTTGTAGGTATCACCAAGTTGGTTTGACTCATAGCTACTCATTCTAAAACAGATGGAAGCCCTACAAGTCCTGTGCCATCCTCACAATCTCTGCTTTGTTGAAAATTATTGTTATTGTCACGGTGTCATACAATCTTGCTGAGGATCATTCTCTCTTTAAGTGACTCTCCACTTTTCCAAAGATAACATCATTTTTCCAAACTGGTCCCTCTTGATAAATTACTGAAAGCATGTGAAATAAAGTCTCATTCTACTTGCTTCAAAGGAGCACCCCGGCTGTACTCCTTCCAAGAATAATGTGGGGTTTTTTTTAAGCCTGTGAAACTTTCAGTAGTATTCGTCAATATCACAGTTAAACAGTGTCTATTAATTAGAGAGGAAATACTAATACTGTAATTATAATTTCATGAAATATTGAAATAGTGTTTGAGAGTATAGCATAATTTAAGAATTTATAGACGAGACTATATATATCTATGAAAAATGTTGTTATTGTGCACCATCGAGTCAGAACTGACCCATAGCTGACCCTTTGGTTGGTTTTCAGAGGCAATTAAATGCATGGGAGGAGATTGCCCATCCTTCTCCTGCAGAGCCGCTGACAGATTCAAACCTCATGCCTTTGGGATTGCAGCTCAGCTTCCTACAACTAGGCCAGCAGTAGATCGGATGTTTATATATATATATATTATGCTGCAAACCATAAAGACCAGAAGTTATAACACACTTCAAGAGATTCATCTGCAGTGCCAGAAATGCAGTGAATGTTTCACTCTGACTTGGAATTGACTACATAGTAGTCAGTTTGGTTTGCTCATGTAAAATATGGTTTCCATATACTCCTTCAACTGAATATTGAGACTTTAACTACACTTAATTTGATACAATGTGAATAAACATCAAATTGTATGTATTAAATTATATATTAAACTTACATGTTTTGCACAATTTTTGTTTAACATCATGGATAGTTGATTTTTGTGTCACCTAAAAAAGAAATAAAATAGATATATATTAAAATATCAATATTTGTTTATATACTGTTTTAAAAACATTCTATCATCTTTAAAAATAATTTATTATAAAACAATAATCATTATTGTTGTGTTTTGTTTATTTATGGTGATTTTGGCAATGTTGTTAGCTGCTGTCAAGTATGAATCATGGCGACCCAATGAACAACTGACCTTAACCCTATCTTATCTTGTGCTGTTATCATCAACTCTAATATACTTGAGCTCATTGATGCAGTTGCCATATCAGCCCATATTGTTGTGTGTCTTCCTTTTCACTGACCCTTTACCTTTCTAGGAACAGCCCCTCCTAGTAAAATATGTCAGATGAAACGTCATCATCCTTGCCTCCCAGAAGCACTTTGCACTTTTCCCAAGACTTATGTTAGTTCTTTTGACAGACTGTGGTGTAGTCAGTATTCTTCTCCAGTACCACGGATCAAAAATATCAATTTTTCTTCTGTCATCCTTATTCATTGTCCAACACTCAGAACCATAGCAAGAGATTGAAAAGACCATAGGCAAAGTCAGGCACATCTTGTTCTTAAAACTGACATCAATCCTCATTGTCAATTATTTGGGAGAGATCCTTCACAACAAACCTGTCCAAAATGTATCCTGGTTTCTTGTCTGCTGGTACCATGGATATTGATTATGAATGCAAGTAAAGTGAAATAATTCACACTTTAAATCCCTTTTCAATCTATCATGGTATCTGTTGGCTCAGTGGTAAAGACTTTTATATTTTTGATGATTGAACATGTTATCAAGATTAATTAATAATAATAGGTGTATGGAATGCAAAAGTTAGGAATAGGGAAGAAGCATCAACAGTTGGGACTTGGTGAAAGAAATGAAGCTGGAGATAGAATTTTTCACAAAGACTTATTAATTGCAAATACATTTTATAAGAAATATAAACACAGGCTATACACATGGATTTCACCTAACGGTATACATAGTAATCAGATCAATTACATCTGTGGAAAGAAACTCTGGAGAAGCTCAAGATCAGTTGTGAAAACTAGGCCAAGTGATGCTTGTGGAACAGACCATCAACTACTCATATGCAAGTTCAAGCTGAAGCTGAGGAAAATTAAATCAAGTCTATAGGAACCAAAATTTTACCTTGAGTTTGTCCCTTTGAATTTCAAAACCATCTCAGGAACAGGTTTGAGGCCTTGAACACTAATGAGCAAAGATCAGATAAGCTGTTGGAGGATATCAAGAATATTATCAAGGAAGAATGCGGGGGTCATTACAAATACAGAGGAGGAAGAAAAGACAAAGATTAATGTCAGAAGAAACTCTGAATATTGCACAAGAGTGCTGAGAAGCCAAAGCAAAAAGAAAGAAATCAAGATATTAAGGAGTTGAATAGATGATTCCAAAGGGCAGCATGAGAAAACAAGTAAGGTATTACAATGAAATGTGCAAAGATTTGGAGTCAGAAAATCAAAAGGGCAGAACTCATTCAGCATTTCTCAAGCAGAAGAAACTGAAGAACACATTCAAACCTCGAGTTGCAATAGTTAAGGATGCTCTGGGCAGAATATTTAATGATCCAGGAAGCATTAAAAGAAGATGGAAAGAGTATACAGAGTCAATGTACCAAAAGGAATTGGCTGACACAGAAAAATTTCATGAAACAACATAAAAGCAAGAGCCTGTGAAGATGAAGGAAGAAGTTGAAGCTACTCTGAAAGAATTGACAAAAATCAAGGCCCCCAAAATTGATGGCATAGCAATTGTCATAACAAATAGATGCTGCTCTGGACGTGCTCACCTAATTGTGCAAAGAAATCTGGAGAACAACCACCTGGCCAACTGACTGGAAGAGATCTGTATTTGTTCCCATTCCAAAGAAAAGTGATCAGAGAAAGTGTGGAAATTACCAAACAGTAGCATTGATATTACATGCAAGCCAGATTCTGCTGAAGATTATCCAAAAATTATTGGAACAGCACATCAACAGAGAACTTCCTGAAATGCAGGCTGGGTTTAGAAGAGGCCATAGTACTAGGGATATTATAGCTAATGTTAGATAGATCTTGGCTGAAAGTAGAGAGTACCAGGAGAATGTATGTGTTTCATTAACTATGCAAAGGCATTTAACTGTAGGTCACAACAAACTGTGGCTGACTTTGAGAAGAATGGGAATCCCAGAACACTTGATTGTGCTTATGTGAAACCAATACTTGGACCAGGAGGCAACCAACAGAGCAAGGGAGCCCTGCATTGTTCAAAATTGGGAAACATGTGCACCAAGGATGTGTACTATCTTCACACCTTTTCAATCTATATGCAGAACAACTTATCCGGGAAGCTGGGCTATATGAGGAGAAAGGTGGCATCAGGATTTGAGGTAGACTCATCAACAATCTGCATTATGCAGATGACATAACCCTTATTGCTGAAACTGAGGCATACCTGAAATGCTTGTTGACTGAAGCCTTCAAAATGGGTTGAAACTCAACATCAAGAAAACAAATATTCTCACCAGTGGGCCAATTGGAAGCATCATGATAAATGGTGAAGAAACTGAAATTGCTAAGAGCTTTAGTTTACTTATCTCCACAATCAAGACCCTTGGTACCAGCAGCCAGAAAATTAAAAGATGAATTAATTATATTGGGAAAATCTGCTGTCAGAGACCACTCTAAGTACTGAAGCGCAACAATGTCAGTCTGGAGACTAAAATGTGCCTGATCCAGGCCACTGTTTTTGCAATTACTTGCTATGAATCAGAAAACTGGACAATGGGATGATAGGAGAATTGATGCCTTTAAGCTGTGATGCTGGAGAAGAGTATTGCATATACCATGGCTGATAGAACAAACAAGTTCGTTCTGGAGAGGGTGAAGCCAGGCTGTTCCTGGGCAGCAAGTATTCTGAAACTCCAGCTGACATACTTTGGACATGTTGCAAGGTAGGATCAGTCCTTGTAGAGGGATGCTATGCTTGGGAGGGTGGGGGTTAAGTGAAGGAGAGAAAGACCCTCAATGAAATGGATTGATTCAGACACTGGGGTAATGTGAATAGGTGTGTCAGAGACAATAAGATTGATAAGCAATACAGCAGGGTTTAGGGTTGTTGTACATAGGGTCACTATGAGTTGTAGGTGATTTTTTGACTCAGTAGTACATAACAACAACAATATTGTAATTCAAAGTGAAGACCTATGGTCTTCCACACCAAGCTTTTCAAGTTCTCTTCACTTTCAGCAAGTAAGTTTGTGTTATCTGCATAAGACAGTTGTTAATCAGTCCTTCTCCATTCCTGATACCACCTTCTTCTTCATAAAGTCCAGCATAATAAATTATTTGCTCAGCATGATGTTTAAATAGATACAGAGAAAGGATACAGCCTTAATCATTATAACCCTTCCTGATTTTAAGTCATAGAGAACTCCTTTGTTCTATTAGGAAGGATGATAGCTTTTTGGTTCAGGCATAGATTTCATATTAGCATACTTAAGTTTTCTGAGATTCCCATTCTTAATGGTGGCAGAAATGAGGCTAAAGAATGAATGACTGCATTTTATACATTCAGTTATTTAATCACAGCAAATACCTTTTTAAAGAAATGTACAGGTGACTTTTCACATGGAACTTGACAGACTTTGTGGGTTAAAAAATATGGTTAATATTACAAAACCTGGGATCCCAGAATATTTAATTGTTCCCTTATGAGACCTATGCCTAGATTTAGAAGTTTGTGCAAATAAAGCAAGGGTATACTACATGGTTTAAAATTAAGTAGGTGTGTGTCAGAGTTCTGTCCTCTCTTTATACCTCTACATTCTATATGCTGAAAAAATTATTTGAGAAGCTGGGCACTATGAAGAAGAATGTGACATTAGAATCAGAAGAAAACTAATCAAGGTACGTATGATACAATCCAGCTTGCTGTAAGAGTACTTGAAGCACTTGTTACAGAAAAAAATATATAAATTGAATCTTAACATCAAGAAAACAAAAATTATCTTGTCTTCCAGCTCTCTGACCCTCTGTCCCATCTTTTGGGATTGTGAAATGGTACAAACATTCTGGAAGGCTGTTGCACTTCCTTAAAAAGCTGAACAAATTCCATATGAACTACCTATTCCACTACTGGAATATACCCTGAGAAAATGAGAACAGAAGCACAAACGGAGACTTGTAAACCAATGTTCATAGCAGCATTATTCACTATCACAAGAACACGGAATCAGCCCAGATGTCTAACCAAAACCAAATGGATTGAGAAATTATAGCACATTCACACAATGACATACTACACAGCTCGCAGGAGCAATGATTTTGTAAATTATTACCTAACTTGAAGGGACTGGTGAGTATTATGTTGAGTGAACTAACTCAGTCCGACAAGGACAAATATTCTATAAAATCATCATTATCGAAAGAGTATAATGATCCAAGGGAGAGGGTGGAAGCAGAGGGATGAGGATATGCAGGGGGTGGAGGGGATTGATCATAGAGTTATACAATTTAATGTATGGGGGGGATGCGGGAAATTGGAAGAATCAGTTCTGGAAAACAATGAATTTGAATTTTGTAAATAAACTAGTATTAAAAAAAACACCAGAACCAAAACAAACAACAACAATGACAACAAACAACAAAGTTCTCACCACTGGATCAATAGGTAACATCAAGATAAATTTGATCAATTTAATGGGTAGGGAGGGGTGAAGGAAATGTGAAATATCTGATTTGAAAAATAATGTACAGAACTGAGATTAAAACAAGATAGTTGGAGAAAAGATGGAAGTTGTCAATGACTTCATCTTTCTTAAATCCATGATCAAAATTCTTAGTACCAACCAACAGAAGATCAGGAGATTTATTGCATTAGGGAATATGCAGCCAGGGAACTTCCCAAATTATAAAGGAGTAGTGATCTCATGTCAATTGAGAAAATCATGGCCTGGACAAGGAACTCTTTAGTCTCTAGACTAGCATCATTGCTCTA